TTGACATTTTGCTGGTTTCTAAGTGAAATCAACATCCTTGCCGTCACGCGTTAACGTGAAATCAACATATAAACCTATTTAGACCTGAAATCAACATCAATGAGCTTCTACGTTGCATGAAATTGACATTTTGCTGGTTTCTAAGTGAAATCAACCTCCTTGCCCTCGCGTGTTAACATGAAATCAACATTTAAACCTTTTTTAACCTAAAATCAACATTTTTGAGCTTATATGTTGCATGAAATTGACATTTTGCTGCTGTCTAAGTGAAATCAAAGTCCTTGCAGTCACGGCGGGCCGATCCTTTGTTATGATAAACCGAGGCGAGACTTCGACTTGTAACAAAAGCTTGGCTTGGTTATAACAAAGGATCGGCTCTGTTTATCATAACAATGGCCCGGCTTCGTTTATTTGAAGGTCTCGGCGGGAAAAGGGCGTTAGGTATTTTAATCAAAAGTGAACTTTGTCAAAAACGCCCCAAATTTCGCATGCAGTTTTGTTTAGGTATGTTTAGCAATGTCCCGAAGTTTTTGTGTTAAGCTTCGCTTTGTTTTCGAGATATTGCGTATGCAAAAAGACCACTCGGTTTTCCTAGCTGCGTCTTTATAACCGAAGCAAAAACCAGTGGGAAAAATACAGGACCATGTTTTTCTATTACATTGAAGACCACATGCAAAAATTCAAGCCCTTTCGCGAAAATTTTTTTTTTCACCCAAATTGTCACTTAGCATGGTTTTGCACTCACCCCTTCAATTATCCACATAATTTAGGTGTACATGTATGAACTGCCACCCTGTGACTCAGTCTGTTTCTCTTATTGATTCTGGTCTGTCAGTAATTGCATACAGCTGACATTGTGTGATTGATCTAACTATACAATAAAAATACATTGCCGACTAACAATGCCATTCATTGTAACATAACATGTTTCTCTCACCCCCATGGTCTTTTCAAGCAGTATTGGACATAGACTTTAGAGTTTCTGGAGTCAACTTATTTTACCTTGGAGTGCTGGATGGTAAGTATGTGTATGGATGATAATTTGCTAATAAGATATGGATTCAGGTGAAAGGACAATTAATGTTATATAATTTTAGGTATTGTAGGTCAATCAGGTATTCAAAACTTGGTCTGAAATAATCCTTATTTCACAAGGTTCTGATTTCAACCCATAAGCTATAGCACCTGTGAGGGTTTTCACTAGTAGAGGCTGTGCAATAAGTGCTGTATTACAAAGTTCCTTTTTACATACACCTGTGTACTGCATACTGAACAGTGGTGGTTGGTGAAGCAGTCATTGAGGTGGCCCTGTAAATAAATGTGCTTTCAAAAACATGCAACATAATGTAGCCTTGCAGAAAAACACTTTGTTTACTTTGTATAGGAGGAGTGGACTCTTTCATGATGAGAATTGATATGGCAGAAATGACAGCAACATCTATTCCTGATTGGACAATTAACAGTGAAATCTATGGGATGAAGCTATGCAGACTGCCAGGATTGGAAAAGGTACAGGATATCAACCCAATTATATTGAATGTAATTTCACTTGAAGAGGTTTGAAAGGAAACATACAATCATAGTATTGTAGAGGTCTGCATGATAGATCATGATAGATCATGACAGTAATGTAGACAACTTATGCAGGTATGAAAAGAAAGTCTGGCATGGGTTTGAATACTGTTCCAGCCTGAATTTTTCAGGCTTCGTTTTTCACAACTGCATTATAAGTAATGTGTAGGTTGTGGTTCAATATTATTCTCGGTACAATTTAGTATTTTAGCTATGTTTCATATAAACTTACATTATGATATGTAACCATATACCAGAACAAAGGAAAATAGAAAATTGTATCGAGAGTAGGATTTAACAGAATTAGATACCTTCACTTAGGGTCCCTAAAGTGTATGTTTGGGGAAATACAAACATTGAGTTTTGCTGGAAACCCAACACACAGTCTTTCATAAACCTGCAAATGCAACTCGTGCTAATGTCATAATTTTAGATTTTTAGCTTATTCAATTGTTACATATTTTATCTATTTTATTATAGAATAACTGAGCTACATGTACTATACACGCTCTCATTGGTCAATAGGTGTGTTTAGATGAGAGTATGTAAACAGGGTGGTGATGATTTAGATTCGCACATATTTTCAAGAATTATTTTATAAAAACAATAGAGCACATAACCTCATCTAAACACTCGGGGGGCTGGGAGAATTCTGGAAAGTTATGCAAACCCTCAACTACGTCTTGGGTTTGCATAGCTGTCTCAAATTCTCTTAACCCTCCTCTTGTTTAGATGAGGCTATGTAAGCACAGAAAAAGTGCTCTATTGCTTAAAATAATATTAATTATTTTACTGTCATTCTATTTACTTTTTTCAGACTATTCTATCTTATTAGATGTGCAAATTTTCACGTGATAATTCATTAAACTAAACCTTACTGATAGTCAAATAAAGTCCATGTGTGTATGTGTCTATGTCTGTCTCTCTGTAACAATAACATGTACATTAATGATTACTGCAATGAGGTTTCATGTCTTTACATCTTTCTCTGCAATCACAAGTTCCTTAATTTACATATTGATCTTGCAAGTGCTTAATGACTTCAGTACTTTTCATATTGAAACATTTTATTTGCTCTTTCATGGATAATATAAATTATTCTAATCACAAGAATGATGTCATGTTTTGTCAGTGAGTTTCTCTACTGTATATTAAATGAAAAATTGGAATAACCATATTTTGGTAGCAGTTATACTCCCAGAAATGAACCCTCCAATCATCAATTATTTTGTCTATTTTTATTTTGTTTTCCAGGTGCCTTTCAAATGTTGCATCTCAGCAGAATTAGAAAATGACCTCATTAGCATTCCTGTTGCTTCTGTGTCACATTCAGGCCACAAGGTACCTTACATGTGTAAGGCTGACATGTATGCATGTCACACTAATGGTATGCCACACTAATGGTACATACATTTAGTGTCTTCGTACATACATTTAGTGCTTGCATGTAATCACTGTTTCTTCTATTTGTTCCTTTGTCAGATTTAGTTTTAATGCCAGGCTTCCTACATTGGTGAGACTGGCAGAAACCTTAACACGAGACTGACTGAACACAAACAAGCCATTAGAAATGGTGATGCCACCAATCACATTGCTATACATCATCAACTGACAAACCACAACATTGACTGGGACTCTGCTCAGTGCTTAGCCTACAGTAAAAACTATTTTCAGTGCCTGACTCTGTAAAGCTGATACACTAATTATAACCTAGAACAAACGCCTCTTAACAGATGTCAACAACTACAGGCGTCTTAGAAACGACTTATTCATGATGGAAACGAAACTGACTTGATTTGATTAACAATAGACGGACCAAAAACCGACCAGTTTGACTAACAATAGATGGATCGAAACTCACCAATGACTGATGACAAACTTTACACGAGTCTTTCAGCCAATACCATCATGGCTAAACTGACCAATCACGTTCAACGGACCAGACTTATAACATCATCAACTGACAGACACTATTCACTTGACTCTGTATTTATCAGTTAAGTAAATGTTGTTTTAGTGGAAACTCTGACTATAGATCATACACTAAACAGGAGTTTGATTAACTTGATATTGTTCTGTTTCCTAAGTTTCATTTTTGTCTGCATTTTATCTTGGAGACATGCTTGATATCTGTTAAAGAAGTGACAATAAACTGGGACCCCACTGTACACATGGCCATCCATGACAGAATAACAGAAGTAATTCAGGATGGCCAAGAGCTGAAAGGTTGGTATATGATACAGCAGTATAGGCAGGCATCCCACTTGGGAAATGATGAAGTACCTACTCCACGTTACTCCCTTTCATGATTCCCAGTCCCACACTGAAATATAGTAACGTGTAACACAAATGAAGTATCCTCACATCCCCCCAAGCAAAACAAAAGAAATAAAAAAACAAAACAAGAAATAAAGAGGAATAAACAAATGCCAATGTTCAAGAGCCATATTGTTCAATTGTTCATAATGTTCAAGAGCCATATTTGTGAGGTTTCTTGACCATTTGGCCACTTCTAGAGGTGGTAACAGCCATTGCTGGATCACTGGCAGAAACTTCTGCGGCTGTGGCTGAGGCTATACCACTGGACCTGGTTGCTCACACACTGTCTGGGTCGGACTGGATGGCTATAGGACTGGTTGATACTCTGAAGGGGGAAGACAACAGTGGAGGGCAACTTTGAACATTGTCACTGGGAAATTGGCCTTTTGGCTGGTCTTGCTGTGGTTCTGCTACAAATGGCTCCCTAGTTTACCTAAGGTGTCTCCCAATTCCTCCTGTAGGTACTGCCATCCTCTGTGTGGAGCGGATATGACCTAATGTTGACCTCTCTATCAACAGCAGCCTTTGTCCATTCTTGGGAATTACGTCTCAATTTCACACGCACTATATCACCAGGCCTCAGTCTGTTCAGCTCTCTGGCACCCTTATTGTAGTAGTAAGTGGTAAGCCTGTTTGGCCTTCATGAATGACCAGCCTTGAAGAAGTTGGTAACAAAGTTCTAGTTCTCTGACCAAAGAGCCACTGACCAGGAAAGCTTTCAACTCCTTTGGAAGGAGTGTTTCAATAATCCAGCAGAGAAAGGTTCGGATCTGTTCCTGCTAGACAAGCCTTCATAATATTTTGAGTAACTCTTACTGCATTTTCAACCTTTCCATTAGACTGAGGATACCTCGGGGAGCTGGTGAAGTTCTGAAGCTCATAGGTCTGTGCAAATTCATGAAACTCTGTTGAACTGAAAGGTGAGTGTATCTCGCTACCATTGTACATACTGAGAATCGCCTCCGAGGCTTCAGTTCCTTAAGCTCAGGATCACCAGAGACTTTCTTGTACTCTCTTACAGGCAGAACATTAACTGTTGCTCCACCATCCAACTGAAACTGGATATCATCACCACTGACCACCATCTTTGCATACTACTTCTGAGAATTGACCTTGTCCAGTGACTCTGTGTTCACAGTTAAAAGATATTCTTAGGAGGAAGAATATTCTTGCATCAGATGTACTGGCTTTCTCTTCTTTTCCTCGTAGGAGGCTTTGAAAACTTTGAAGAATTTGAACACTTGACTGCAAAGTGGTTTCTCTCCCCACATTTGCTGCAATTTTTTCCCCAGGCAGGACATTCATCTCTAATTTGTACAGAATTTACAGGATATTACAGCTTTACCATCCTTTGGTGGGAGACAAGCATCCTCTAAGGACTTTTGTCTGCCACCAGCAACAAACTTGAGGTCCTCCTAGTTCCCCATTGCTTACAGTCATGTAGTTGTCGCTTTACTGGATCAACAAATAACAATGCATTTATTGAGTGTTAACTTTGCCTCCTGTAGAAGTTGCTTACGAGTACAATTGTCCTTCATTTCAACCACAATTCTGTCACAAATAAGAATATCCTTGAGTGTAGCATAATTATATGTTTTCTCCAAGGTGCAAAGTGCCGTGACTTAAGAATCGATGGACTCACCTGACTCATGATTCTGCTTGTTGAACTGATAGTGCCCATAGATTTTATTAGTTTCACTTACATAGAACACCTCTAATTTCTCCAGGACAACATCAATGTCCTTGTGTTCTTCTTCATTGGCAAAAGTCCAACCATCTACAATCTCCAATGCATCGGCACCTAAGCACGCGAGTAATGTCGCTGTCCTCTCTACCTTCGGTTGTTTTACCAGGTGAGATGCTACCTCATAATTCAACCAGACCCGTCAAAAACGCATCCAATTGCTTGCTAAATTTCCCTTAGTTTCAAACTTGAAAGGAAACAAAGCATTTTGTAGAACAGGGGGAGTTGCTTCACTTGACGTTCCCTTGCTGCCCGGCATACTTGTAAAGTCTGTGGAACTTGGAGCAAAAAATCGGACTAGAAAAATCCACATTGTAAAACAGACGACGAACACGTAGGTAAACACTTCTCCTGACACCATGTAATGTTGTTTACCGAAAAGGAAGCACGTAAAACAGAACTCAACCTCAACACATAAAACGTAACTCAAAGGTTTGATGAATAGACTTGAGCATGCTTACACCCTGGTTAACACACTTCATATAAGACAACTGAAATGATCTGAAATATTGTAACATGTAACACAAATGAAGTACCGTCACAGTGATCATTGATCAGTAAGTTAGTGACAAGACATATTACTAATTGTTTTTCGGGGTTTGAAACCATTTGTTGACCGGGTACAATACTCTATTCTAGTCTATTCTACAGCAAATGTTTTGTTTTACCACGGAAACCACACTACAAACCACAAACTAAATCATTTCTAGATAAATTTTTGGGGTAAAGTCTGACAGTTTAGCAGCTTTTGGTCAATTCCACTTTCGTGGACATAACATTCAGACTCAATTTTGAAACTTAAATCTAACACAGACAATGGTTTTCTAGTGAGAAAATCTCAGATAGTGCAGTGTAATTTACGGCTCTGATACAGTCGTCACATAGGTCCTTGCCCATGCTGTTCTCCCCTTTGGTAGTCAACTAGACCTTTCCCCCTTGTAGAATATGAGTGGATAAAAACCTGATAAGATGTAATCTTAGCATTGTGTATGTTCCACGTTTTCATTTTCTTTCAAGACCCAAAAAGAGCCTACAATTACCGTTTGTCGAGACAGCTTTTAATTTTATTGTCAGTGGTGTTTTACGTTGAGTTTCAGTCATATTAAATTCAATAATAAGCAGAAGTGGCAAATGTGACAATTTTACTTTTCATGCCAACGTTTGTAACTTGATCCTTTTGTTTTCCTCACCAAGGCATGCAACATGTAATTTCCTCACCTACATGTATAGTTTCATCTGGGACTTGTAGAATTGTTTACGCTTGAAATAGATGGCTTCCAGCTTATCCCAAATTTGTGTCTTATGCAGTACCTTGACAATTTCAAGCTTTTCACTAGAGACAGAAGAATATACAAGCCATGAAAATCTCTAGGTTTTTACAGTAGCGGCGAACCCGAGATCGAAGAAATCCTCGATTTCTCCCCAGCTTTAGCTTTGCACAGATCAGCCCACTTCTTTGGTCTTTTTCTCATTTCTGATCAAGTTTCATTGAGATAGAGGTATTAAATGAAGAGGAATACTCTATTCTATGCATCCTGTATTGTTACAGCCTCCAGCAACATATCTATATCATATTCGCATATATTCTTCTCAGAAACAAAATACTTCCCAAAATGATGTCAGAAGACAAGTCATCCCATTCTCTGCTATTCCTTGGTCATGAACATGGAAAAAGGCAAATTTACAAACTTGGAAAATTCAAACAAAACTAAAGAAAATAGCTACAACGATAATTTTTTTGCAGTGGTGATAAGGAGAAAAAGGACATTTATATTACTGAAAAGAAATTTTGGGACTTAGTGGCACTTTAATACCCTAATACCCTAATACCCCAATACCCTAATACCCTAATACCCTAATACCCTAATACCCTAAGACCCTAATACCCTAATACCCTAATATCCTAATACCCTAATAACCTAATACCCAAATACCCCAAGATTGTAATACCTGTATACCCTGATAGCCTTATTCCCCAATACCCCAATACCCAAATACCTCTTAAACTGCAAACTTCTTGGATGCTGACGTTTAGTGTGGCTAGTAGAAAGGGAACAGAGGAGTGATATTTGACCTTTTTTCCAGTTAAATTCACCGTACAATTGTAGTGAGAATCAATTTTTTGTTTATTAAAATGACCTCAAAATCAAACTGTTCACATGCGATCGTGTTGTGATAATTAAATCTACTACAAATAGACATATAAAGCTTTTCATGAGAGCTGACATTCTCCCAAAAACAAAAACAAATCTAAAATGATGGTGAGTGTTGCGTTTCAAATTCCTCCGGCGTAGTGTGGATGGATGTTCTTCACCAAAAAAGGGTTGAACAAGAAAAGAAAAAGACCAGTGGCTTAAAAAAAAAAATGGAAAAAAAGCCAACGAATCCCGGAATCTAACTCAGATCCACAAGATTGGAACGTGGGTGCCAACCATAGTAACACATAAGAAACCTTGCTTCAAGGGGGAAAGATCCAAAGTACTTCAGTTTTATCTCAAATTGGCTAGCAAATATCCAAATTAGCTAACAAATATGCGACACGTAGTCTCTTAAATGGCAAACTTCTCGGAACCCAGGGTGGCNGCCTCGCTTGCATGCGACTCGTCCCGGGCGCCAACCGAGTGATCCGCCATATTTGCATTCGGTGTATAGTGCGATAATAGCTTTGAAGCTTCGATAGTAATATCGACTTTATTTATCTTATCTAATTGGTGATTAAAATGGTAAAATACTTCTAAGTAATAGATAAAAATTTTAATAAAACTTTTTATGATGCGCAGCTTTTACTTAGCTATTTTTTCGTAAGGAAATGTTCTGCCTTTGGGTGCACGCCAACAAGTCGGAAGTGTAATTGACTTTTTCAGTGTTAAATAGACTAGTTTGTAGCATTGTTCTTGCCTGTAAACAATTCCATTGGCATCCTTTTACATGTCAAGAGACACTCAATGCTAATTAAGTACATTGTATGATAAGTGTTATTTATTTTAAAACACAGCAAATAGAACTATTAATGGTCACAACAGAAAAAAATCTTTTGGTTCTATTCGGAACACCTTTGATTTAAGTTCTCTTTTTTTTGGAAGGAAAAGTTTAGCTGTTGGCACACATTGGCGAGTCAGTTGCTAAATGTTATCTTGCAGGGGCACGGCGGCAAAAACAACAAAATATATGTATATCTCCGGTTCTATTCGGCAGAAATTGGTGATCGAAAAGGTAAAATACTAGATAAAAGTTTTAATAAAAGTTTTTATGATGCGCAGCTTTTACTTAGTAATTTTTTCGTAAGGAAACGTTCTGCATTTAGGTGTGTGCCGACAAGTCGGAAGTGTAATTGACTTTTTCAGTGTTAGATAAACTAGTTTGTAGCATTGTTCTTGCCTGTAAGCAATTCCATTGGCATCCTTTATCATGTCAAGGGACACTCTCGATGCTAAAACAAATAGAACTATAGCTTTTTTTTGCGAGAAAAAGTTTGGCGGTTGGCACGCACCAGCAAGTCAGCTGTTAACTGTCTTGAAGTGTTGTGGCAGTGAAAATAACAAAAATACGGTTCCATACTCTTCTATACTCAGTTAATATTTTTTTGTGTTGTTGTCCATTTCAGCGTCACGGAAGTTTAAAAAATATATCTATACCTGGTTCTACCGGCAGAAATTGAAGATTGAAACGGTAAAATACAGTTAATTCACAGATACATAGATATATAGTCTTAGTCTTTTGGCATGTGATATGTGGCAAGTAGAGCATCATGGAGCCCATGATTAAACTGAAACATCAATCATTGACTTTTGCATGTTTGGTGGCTCCTAAAGGAGCCATTTTTAGCGACCTACAGTGCAATGTCGAATCAGCATTTAACGGATCAGGGCACGGTGGCTCCTAAAAGAGCTGTTTGCTTAAAATTTGGTAGCAGCACCTTGTGCCTCCACCACAGCTAGGATTGCCTTATACAAAATGTGATCAATGTCCTTTGTGCATTTCAAGGGGGTTATTTTCAGTTCCCAGAACTTCTTGATGCCATCTACAAGTTCTTGTTTGGTGCGTGGCTTCACTTTGGACTCTAAATAAAACTTCAGTTCATGCCACATATCTTCGATGGGATTTAGGTCTGGGCTTTCCGCAGGGGTGGGCCACCAGTTGATATTATTTACCTCGAAGAAGGCCTTGGCTCATCTGGAGGTATGCTTCGGGTCGTTATCCTGCATGAACCGGTGAACACGAAGCTTCTCTAATGAATGGGAGGAGCGTAGTCTCCAGGATGTTGCAATAGAGATTGGCATCCATGATACCATCAAATATGCAAATCTTTGTGGCACCATGTCTACTAACCCCCACCCACACATGAACCTTCAACGGATGCTTCGGCTTCAGCTTTCGCTTTGTCGGCTCATCGATCTTCCGGTAGCAAGTTTGCCGGTACTGCTTGAGAGACACAGAACACGCGTCACTGAAAATCACATTTTGGAAAGTGTCGCCACTTTCCAAAACCTGCCATGCGAATTCCAGCCTCTTCACCTTGTTGGCATCTCGGATGAGCTGACAATAGGTGGTTCGCTGTAACGTCCAGCCTTGTTCCTTGCGAGATCATCACACCGTGGATGAGCTCACGGTAATGCCACACTTTTCCAGCTTCTTTTGTATCTGGCCACTCGTCATTTTGTCGTCCTTGCGCATTTCTTGGTCGATGAAAGCTTTTGCTTTTGTAGACAACTTTGATGGTCTTCCTGAGTGCGGTAAATCGGCCACACTGCCGGTGGTCTGTAGCTTCTTTACGGTGCGCGCCACACTCGGAAAGCTGACGCTTAAACCCTCACGTTTTAAGACCTTAAATATCCCAGCTGGGTGGAGGCCTTCCTTTTGAAGAAGCTCAATTCGAGTTCTCATGTACGTTTACACTTTAGGCATGGCTAACTGTGATAGCTTGAAAGCCGAACTGACTAAGGCTAACACACAACTTTTAATTTCACCATGGCAACATATAAACAATTACGAGGTTGTGCAGGGCCTGAGTTCATTGTGGCTGCACCATGACTACTACTGCGAGTAGCACTTCTTGTTCAATGAAAACAGGTTGGCAGACAGACCATTTGAGTTTGCCAGTTTAAGACTGTAACACACAAAGTGATATCAGCTTTCTCTGGACATCACCAAGGTAAGTTTTTGAGAAAAGGCTTTGAGATATTATTATCACTCATGATAATATTAAGGTTTTTATCGTGCAAGTTCTTGTTTTGCACTGGCTTAATTCATATTACTACTAGGAAGCGACGGGAAACTTAACGAACAGAGCGAATTTTTGCTAGAAAGTTCGAAGGAAAATTCGCAAAGAGCTAATTTTTGCTCGAAAAATCAGACCAAATTATCGGTAGACATGAATTACCGCTCGAAAATTTGCGACGACTAAAACAATGGGCAGCAGGAAAATTCATTGAATTTTCTTCACACTTTCAAGGTGAACAAAACTTCGCCATTTTTCGTTGAAAAGCCCAGAAATTTGCGAATTTCGTTGAATTACGCTCTCATTACTTGTGCACAATACTGTAATAGTAATTTAATGGTAAATGAACTATTCCCAGAAAGCAAACAAAACAAGTTTCCATTTTTAGTGCAACAATCGCAGCTAGACCTAATAATGTAAAACGATACACTTGCCTGCAATATTGACTAATACAGTGATTTCAGGAGCTTTATCTACTGTTCGGCGGAATTGCTCCAAAAAGCTTACAGATGATGGAAGGACATCATTTGCATATCATTTGCATAATCTGCACCACCACTAAAACCTTATAGATTGCTGACCCAATCTCCAGGTTAACAACCACAATATTGAGTACATAAGAAGTTACTCAAAACTCCTGTGAAGTATCTGGGCTGTGTGACAAGAATGTTTTTAAAATCATTTATGTAGTTATTTTAGGAAAGAAATAAGATTGTTTAAAAAAGACTTACCCTTGCTACATCATTCTATTTTGTGAAAAAGTTCAGGGAGAAATTTATATCACCTATGCATAAACTCCGGTGAGGGACTCTTTCTGATACAAGTGTTTGAAATCCATTATATTTTCTCAGTTTGATACAGCAAGTTAAAAAATTTACTTCTTGCCTGTTGTTTGCGGTAAAAAAATAAATACTTTCTTGGCCCCCCCCTGGAATACATGGTTTTCTCGAGGGACCTTTTCTGTGTACTTTAACTTGTCACCAATGTAGAACAGGGTATAATTTCATGCGTAACCTCTTTTTAGAAATCTGGATTCTGAAACCACTAATGTGGAATTGCCCTTTTAAGTAAAATTGAAAAAGTTGAAGAGTAATTTACAAACATACATGGTAAGCGTGGACACTTTTTACTCTTCCCCTACATAGTCTGAATAGATAGAAAATTAAGTTTGCTTGGACTTGGTTTATTGCTGTTTTATTAATTGCCATAACTTCTTTGTACTATTCACAGCGATGCTGAAAACAACCTCTGTGACAAGTTCGCACACTGATTCTTTATTCAATAAAGGAAACAAACCAATTGACTTTACCTGCAACATTTCATGGTTTAAACTGCAAATGCAAACATCACTCAAGACAAGGTATATACTCAATCTGATTTACTGACATGTTTATGTAAGGGCTGGTTATTATGATAGCAGAGTTTATATTGAAGTATGTAATAAATCTATAGTAAGTGAATCTTTGTTTAAGTTCTTCTGATTGACTGTGTTTAAATATTAATTTTGCTGTGAAATTGGCAAAATCACGAACACCAGAAATATTCATAGAACATTGTGTAGAAAGGAAAACCCAGTTAGGTATGAGAAAACTAAATGGCATAATTATTACAATAGCAGTAATTAGTTTGTGGTTTTGAGGTTTGTCCTGAACCATTTTGTGATTGGACAGTACACAATCAACCTGTCAGAATTAAATCAAAGTGTTCACTTTTGACTCACGCAGTAATAATTATGATATACAGCTGTATTGTGTCATTTAAAGTTGAAAATATAAGAATATCAAAGAATACATGTAAGTTAACAAGCAAGTGGTGGTCCCTGTATTACTTCAACTTTTTCTACAGCTTTGGTGTAGAGTGCAGAAGTTGCTCATTGTCAATGGATCGCAAATCATTGGATGTGAAATCTGATCACACTGGTCTACTCTTTGATAATCTTTGTTTATTTAAATTTGAGGTGAGCTTTACTTTTTACTCTTGTAATTGACAAATTAATGTTGTATAGACCAACCCTCCCTGGCCTCAGAAAACAGTAATAAAATGATGACAATTTTATTGTCAGTGACTACTCCTTCCAAGTGTAATATTCATTTATTACCCTCGTGGTTCCCAAGACCCAAGAAGGTATAGTTACGGGTGACAGCAATATTGATTGCATGTAAATAAATTATTATTTATGCATTAGTTATGTAAATAAAGGCAAATCAAGACTTAAATAATTATTATTCAATTGAAGAAAACTTCATGAAAACCTATCTTATCTTAAATAAATGCATCCAGGTGCAAAAAACAAACAAACAGAAAACAATCCTTACTGGCCCATTATCATGGATGGTAGAGAGGCAACAATTCACACAACAAACAGGATGGAAGATTGTAAAAAGAGCTTATGGTAACTAAGTATGTTAAGTTTCCCTTGCTATTCCAGTAAAATGGCCATGTATTTAACATGGTCACTAATAATATTTGGGCACTTGGTTATGTGGGAGGCATGGTGGCCTCATGGTTAGTGCGCTCGTCTCCGAATCAACCAGTCCAGGTTTGAGTCCTGCCTGGGGACATTGCATTGTGTTCTTGGACAAGACACTTTACCCTCACAGTGCCTCTCTGAACCCAGGTGTATAAATGGGTACCGGCAAACTTAATGCTGGGGGTAACCCTGCGATGGACTAACATCCCATCCAGGGGGGAGTAGAAATTTTCCTAGTTACTTCATGCTACAGAAACCGGGATATGCTCTGGCCTACCTACTTGGTTTGACACTATTAGTGCAGCACCTTTATTGATCCATTAGAGGAAAAATGCTGGAAATCAACCATTATGCTGGCCACCATAATTGCAGAACCTGGAGATGCCATTAGATGATGTTCATAGACCTAAAGTATTTTTTATTTGCCTATGATATTCCTTAGCTGTTCCTGGCCTTTACTTTCTGTTATCACAATAGTTTTGGCATGTGTTGGCATGGTTTTGTCGATTTTTATTATGGTGACACAGTGCAGCAGATTTTTGTGTGGGATTTCCCACACTTTGTCAACGCCAGGGATATTCATTTATTTATTTGTCCACGAGAGCAAAGCGTTTGTCACATGGTTTCTACTTAGCGTAGTAGTATATAGGGGGTCAGACAAATACCATTTCACAGAGGGAGGAGTATTTCCCCATTTTGCAACCCCCAGCTTTTATTCCGAAGCTCGCAAGCTCGCTTTGGTTAAACCAGGGGGGTGCAAAACGGGGAAATGCTGAGTCCCTCTTTGAAACAGTATTTGTCTGACCCCCTATATACTACTTACGACAACGGGAGGGACGGAGGGAGGGCCACATATTAGAAACAAGCGAGCCAGCTGTTATACCACCCGAGCCGCAATGCCTTGAGCAACAAACAAGTGTGCGTGGCTGATGCAGGGCCAGAAAGAAAGCAGCGAACTTTCCGAGGCCATTCAAAACCTCCCTCCAGAGCTTCGCGAGAAAATTTACAAAGATTATGTCGCCGTAAAGCTTTGCCAGCGAGCCGATTTGGGCTGGGACAAGGTCCACGAGCATATTTCAAAACTGCCTTTCTGCCAGCACATGCAGCAGATTGTACCAATGATAATTTGCACTGAATATCCGGACTGCTATTTCGAGGGTTGTTGTTTCCCCTGTTTCGAAAGGGAGGGAAATCTTCATAAAGCATCGCTAAGCCGGCCGATGGAGTTAATTCCTCTCATAGAAGCCGACCCAGAGTACAAGAATTTTTTAGAAGTATGCTCCTGGGATGGTTACAATTGGCACGAGTGGTTCCTTTTTGGCAGGGAGCGTTAGCGAAAAAAGGCGGCGACTAACCTTCGTTCGAAGCAAAAGTTTTGTTTTGAAATCTGCGAGTTGCGTGACATTTTTCTCAGAAAGACTGGAACCAAATATT